GGAGGAAACACATGATTTGATTAAGAACATGTATACAAAAAGTAAATTTGCCATAAAGATTGGAAACGAACAACCAGCGTTCTTCTCCCAGGGCCGGGGAGTGAAGCAGGGATGCAATCTCCAATTCTCTTCAACCTATATATCAATGAATTAGCAAACCAATTAGAGAGTTCCACAGCACCTGGCCTCCTCCTGAACGACAGAGATGAGAGGTCTGCTGTATGCAGATGACTTAGTGTTGCTCTCACCTACTAAAGAAGGTTTGCAGCAGCACTTAATCTCCTGCAGAGATTCTGTCAGACCTGACAGTAAACACAGCAAAGACTAAGATAATGATCTTTCAGAAACAATACAGAAATCAGGTTACACACAATTTCTATTTAGACACCACTAAATTACAACACAAAAAACTACACTTACCTTGGCCTCAACATTATATACACAGGGAACTTCAACATGGCTGTGAAAGATCTGAGGGACAAAGCAAGGAGAGTGTTAGGGGGTGTGGTGTGTGGATAGAGAGGACCCAAATGCAGCACTCAGAGGGAAGGAGGTTTATTGGAGGAAAAAGGGGAAGAGGGACTGGAGTGGAGGGAGAGGTGGACGTCGGGGAAGTACAGGCACGGGGAACCAAGGAGACAGGGGGCCAGGGAGCCGGGGAACACAGGGGCCGAGGAAGCGAGGAGAGGCGGGGGAACAGGGAGGACGCCGTGAGGGAAGTCCAAAGAGGAGTGAGCCAGTGGATGAGTCCAGCTGAACGGAGGACGAGGGTGAGTGTACCTGGGAGGGAAACAGAGAGACAAGGTACAGGGTAAACGTGAAAAAACATGAAACATGAAAGCCTGAACGTGAGGATGGCACCGGGTATGGAGCAACGACGATCAAGCGAGGATGGTGTGGAAAACCGGGGTTGAAATACAGGCAGTCATGAGGTGATTACTGGCAGGTGTGGCAGGCTGACGAGGTGGATGATGAGTTGCAGGTGCAGGTAGTTGGCTGGGCTCAGGAGCAGAGGGAGAGAGAGCACACGGGGAGAAAACACAGAGAGGCGGGCAGAGAACAGGAAACCAAGGAAAAAAGCAGAAAAACTGATAAAAAGTGGAAAAAACCAGGACACTCACCGTCAGCCGGGCTGCCACCACAACAGAGAGCTTTCTATGCAATAAAAAGACACATTATAATATATATTCCAATTGAAATTTTCCAATTTGTACTAGAACCAATAATTCTATATGGTAGCAAAATCTGGGGGCCAAAACTTAATAATGAATTTGACAAATCAATCATAGAATCTTTCCATACTGAGTTCTGTAAGAGCATCTTGCAGGTGCAGAGAAAGACACCAAATAACCTGTGCAGAGCAGAGCTTGGCCAATACGCCCTCCTACTAAAAATACAGAAAAGATCACTTAAATTTTACAATCACTTAAAATCAGTTAACCCCCAGACATCACCACAAAGCCCTAACATACCAGGAGCTGAAACCAGAGAAGAGTCCCCTCAGCCAGATGGTCCTGAGTAACAAGTCCCCAACAGACTCAAGACAGCAACACCAACTCAAGCAGACCAAAGCAAATTATCAGCAAGCAGAAAGAAAAATATATTGAATACTGGAAAGAAACGACCAAAACACAAAGTAAATTACAATGTTATCTGACCCTAAAAAGAGAATTCACACTGGCAAATTACCTGAGTACAATAAAATGTCCCAAATTAAGAAAAATGTTGACAACAAACAGACTGAGTGAACACAGCCTGGCCATAGAAAAGGGTCGCCACAGACAGAGCTGGCTACCACAAGAGGAGAGACTCTGCTTGTGACAGGGGACAGGTAGAGACAGAGCTGCACTTTCTAACCTCATGCCCTAAATATAAAACACTAAGACAAAAACACTTTTTTATTTCCCAAATATACCCCAAATTCGAATTCATATCAGACACAAAGAAACTCCCCTATTTATTGGGAGAAATACCCAAATGCGAAAAAATTGCTGCAAAATATATCTCCTCATGCCATGAAGTGAGGACAACCAGTGGAACCTCAGACTAACAAATAATTGTACAGATTTTCAAATTATTATTTTGATCATTTGATATTTTAGTAATTGTTTTGTTTTTACATTTGATACTGGTTTCTTTTTTTTTTTTATCAATTAATTCTTTAAAAAAATATTATTAATTAATATATTAATATATACACACATTATTAATATATACACACACGTTACTGTTTCATTTATTTATTTTATTTTATTTTTTTATATATATTTAAATTTTTTAACACACACACACACACACACACTTACCGTTTTATTTATTTATTTTATTTTAATATATATATATTTTTTTTAACACACACACGCTTACTCTTTTATTTATTTTATTTTAATACATTTTTATTTAACACACACACGCTTACTGTTTTGTTTATTTATTTTATTTTTAATATATATTTTTAACACACGCTTACTTTTATTTATTTATTTATTTAAATTTTTAATATTTCTTTTTTTCTTTTTTTAAACACACATACGCTTTGATTACTTTATATATAATATATATATTTACTTTACTTTAATTGTTCTTATGTTGTATATATGATGCTTTGGCATGTTATTACATTCATGCCAATAAAGCTAATTTGAATTGAATTGAATTGGTGCCTGATGATTAAGAGCTTTGTATGTGAGCAGAAGGATTTTAAATTATATTCTAGATTTTACAGGAAGCCAGTGCAGCGATTCTAATACAGGAGAAATATGATCTCTTTTCCTGGTTCTTGTCATTACACTGGCGCAACATTCTGGATGAGCTGAAGAGTCTTAATGAGTCTTGGACTTATTCGAACACACTGATAATAAAGAATTGCAGTAATCCAACCTAGAAGTGACAAATGCGTCGACTAATTTTTCCGCATAATTTTGAGACAGGATGTTCCTGATTTTTGGAATGTTACGTAGGCTTCAGTTATCTCAAAACAAAAGAAGAAGAAGAAAACTGAGACAGTTATTAGTCATTAAATACAACAATGAATGTCACAGCTGTATATTTCAGAAGAACATACTGCAGGAACAAAAGCAAATATGAAGAACAACAATTTTGTCGTTTATCATTCACAGCTTTATTTTACATGAACATAACATTTATCAACAATGCTGAACTCAGAGAATGATCTAAAACACACACACTTATTCTTAGTCTTTAGACTAAAATTAGCTCCATCAACGTCAGGACGGTGCAAACCATCATAGACATAGAACCAATGATGGGAGTAGATGAGTCTGGAGCAGAAGAAAGAAAAAACATTACTTTTCCATTTGCAATCACACATCAGTACTGACAATTTAGAGAGCTGTGAGATAGAGCTCAATTACCACGCAGTGTGTGGAGCGCAGAGGTTTCTAAACCAGTGACAGCATTTTGGGCGGTACAGGTGTAGCTCCCCAGGTGCATCTCTCCATCTCATGGATGTAGTGCAGGGGCCCGTACATCTTCATGTGTTTGAACGTCCAGAAGAAAGTTGCCTTTGGTAGGGAGTCAGCAGAGCAGCTAAGAGTGACACTCTCTTCAAGTTCTGCTCCTATTGGCCTCTGAATGATTGTTGGTTTGTCAGGTCCATCTGAACATTTGAGGAAGAGGATGAAGGAGATCATTAGGAAGATAATAATTATGATGAGACTGAAATAGTTAGCCTTTTCTATGCACTTAAGTAATGATAAGCGAATATTCAAAATCAGGAAATGTGTAATTGAAAATACTCACAATAGACTTTCAGTCTGCAGTTAGCTGTATCAAAACTGAAATCATTGCTGACATTACAAAGAATCTCTCCAGTGTCTCTCCTGTCGACAGGGCTGATAGACAACACTCTGTTGCTGTCGTAAAAGCTGAATCTCTCTCCAGAAACCAAAGGTCGGCCGTCTTTCATCCACACTCTGTTGGACACCAAGCCGTCAGCATCGCAGGTTAGGTTCACAGAGGTTTTACCTTCTATTACGTTTTCTGTGGGGCAGGCCATAGTGGGTCTTGACACTTTGGCTGTGCACAAAAAATGTATACAAACACAAGAGACTTGTTGACACCACACCTAAGCAACATTCAACATTCTTTAAACAGACATCTTAGCAGTGCAGTATTACAGTAAAATAAACATGTTGATACTACACAAGCATTGTTTTCAGTTCCTTCCTAACATTAAAAACAGTGTCAGATAAATCTATCTTACTCACTCAGCACCTCCAGTTTGACAGTTCCTTGAATCTGCTCCGCTCCATATGGGATGATGAGTAGTTCATATTCTCCGCTGTCTTTTTCAGTCAGGTTCATAAGCACCAGAGATCCAGTAGACTTTTCTAGGACGATCCTGCTCTCATAGCCTTGTCCGACTACATCTACACTGGTTGAGGTTATTACATTGGTGGTCCCATTGAAGCTCCAAGTTAATGCCAGAAATGGTTCAGCTGTTGGTTTTACAGATGTTTTAAAGGTCACGCTCTCCCCTGCTGCTCCACGGAGGGAGTCAACAGTGAGTACACCAGCTCCATAGCACAGACCTACTGAAATATGAACATAGTCAACATTTCACAACCTGTAGTTCTATTGATAAAGAACTTTTAATACATATCTTACCTGAGGAGAGGAACATAAGTATGGTTGACCTGAGAAACGTATAGTTCATGATGTATTACTGGGTCAGTCCTCTTCTAATGTTATCTGACCTTCTGCTGTCTGTGTTTGTGCAACAGTGGAATAAAAGCTAAGATAAATGCAATAAATGAAACGTCATCAAGACGTCCACAGGCTTGACATGCTTAATTATTACCTTCATCAACCCTTTGTTATCGTGGCTCTCTAAACTGCATGTTTGGAAAACCAGAAATGATGCTTCTTATTTACTATTACACACAGTTTGTTTACTTAGTTGATAATGTGAGAGGTATTAGGAACTAGACTCTAAAGCCATGCTAGTAGCTCTGTGATGCAGCTCTGTTGTATGTAGACATAGCAGTGCTTTGAGCTAAATGTTAATCAGCATACTAACATGCAGAAGAAGAAGAACACATTCTTTATTCATCACACAAGGGGAAATTCAATGTTCTCACTCTGGTGTTATTGTCATTAGTATACACACACAGGTCTGAAATACACACACATGCAACAACACATGGAGAGATGTCAGAGTGACAGGGCTGCTACTCAGTGCGGCGCCCCGAGCAGCTGAGTGTACAGGGGCTTGCTCTGAACAACAATGTTAACACGATGACAATAAATTTAGCACTTTTCAAAACAAAGTTATAAAGTGTTTTGAAAAGAGCTAAACGGGGCGGCTGTGGCTCAGGAGGTAGAGCAGGTTGGCCGTTAATCGGAAGGTCGGCGGTTCAATCCCTGGCTCCCCTGGTTGCGTGTCGAAGTGTCCTTGGGCAAGATACTGAACCCCGATTTGCCCCTGGCGCCTGTTCCGCCAGTGTATGAATGAGTGTGAATGCTAGTTTCTGTTTGAGCACTTAGGCTCAGTGTATGAATGTAAATGTGTATGACTGGTGAATGCAGATGTAGTGTAAAAGCACTTTGAGTAGTCGAAAAGACTAGAAAGGCGCTATACAAGTACGGAGCATTTACATTTACATGAATGAACCAGGATAGACACATGCAATTAGGAAAATCAGACAATTATATAACCCAAAAAACAAAATACCACACTGGCCTAAGTTCTATCTCAAAACTCTTCACACATTATATGGACATTAACTTTGCTTTATGCACTCCTATAAAATTAATGTAATTTTAAAGATAATATTTAACTTAAGCTAAAAAGTCTGATTGTGTCTAAAACACACTGAGAGTAAAATATACAGGACAATATCCTGCTCAGTAAATTACTTCAATACCACTTTGCTCCATGTCTTTTATCCACCAGACTGCCAGAAGTTAGACCACAAAAAGGCAGCATACTGCAGCTTTTGGAGACAAGAGTCGGATATATCACATCTGTCATTTAGGACCACATGGACTTTGACAGTGGTCGATAGTTAGTTTTCACTTCTCCATAAAGTTAAATCAACCATCAAGAGTAAACTTTGGAGGCACAACTCCATTGAATCATTAACATTTCTTCATTGTTTGTATTTATTGTAAGGAAGTCAAATGTATCAACTCAAGTAAACAGTAAGAAGATATATACATATTTATTAAAATATACTTCCAAAGTCATTTCCGCAGTTGCCAGTCTTTGACTGTTATATTTAAAGACTGTTACATATTCAGTTGCTGTAAGTTCACATGACAGAGAAAGAATTAACATTTTGTGTTGCAGTTTTCAAAATATATTGATATATATTGTTAATTAGCATAATGTCTTATTCCACCCCAATATTCTTCCATTAATTTACAAAGTTGTGGCTGGACACAATAAAGAACAGCAAAATAAAAGCAAAAATTAGAAATACTCTGTAGAAATGCGCAACACACCAGGAATGGTGTAAGGAAAACTAGCATAACAATATTCAACTAAATATATTATGTTTTAAATGTAAAAGGACTCAGGGTGAATCATCACCCAGCACTACAGCTTACTGGAGCTTTTTACTGTATTTACACTCTTTGTTTTGGGTTTGAAGACATTTCACTCTCATAAACACTGTTTACGGCAGATTACTCTGACAAACCCAATGCATTTGCTACCTGCTAAAATGAGAAGGAATATTTAATTCAACAAGTGGCCAGAAAAGCAGAGGAAATGCTACTGTTATACTGTACATATGGATAAATGGCAAATGTTTGCTAACACATTAGCTATAAAAAAACAACACATTAGCTATCAAAAACAATAATGTGATAATATATCAGGGCTGCTATGTGTCATTATGTTGTGGTGCTCTTCTGCCTACAAGTGTCCAAACAGTCACTTAATTCAACTTTAAGCACATTTATGTGTCTGTCAACAAGACTTTGAAATACACTGGTAATTCTGTTACTGTTACGTTTTGCTGTGTTGTAAATTATTTATCTAAAAGAAACATAACCCAAACACAGAAGAAACAGTATGAATTCTAAAACAAAACAACAACATTGGTGTCTCTTCTTTTCTGATCATCTGCAGGACAAAAATGTAAACAACTGATTAAATTAGAGAGTTGCTGTTTTGATCCAAACAGAGTTAAACTGATTTCTACAGAAACAAAACCTCTTTGTGCGTCTCCCTTCAAAATACATTTAGGCCTTTTCACTAAATAAGAAAAATGAGTTCAAAACTTACCTTAAAAGACAGTTTATATGTTCTCATATACCTCTGAAGTGTTCTCAGTGTCCTTCTCGTTCTAGGCAAAAAAGTAGCTTTGTTACAGTACATTTCATAACTCAATACATGTGATTGTGATTTTTTTTTGAAGTATTTATTTATGATAGTGTGATTTTTAGATCCAGCCCGTCCTCATCCAAAAACAGCTGTATAGGTTGATTATATAGCTTACTACGACCCAAATTTATGTTTTTAGTAAGGCCACTACCCCTGGTGACAGAAGAAGTCAGGTGGCGTAGTATGAGGAACGACAAAGTCCGATTAAGGAGGGTGGTGGTGGTGAATGGATGAGGGATGTAAACTCAGGACTTTCACTCAAGAGACCAAGACTCAAGTTCCGTGTAAAAGAAAGTTAAATAACGTTTTGTAGAGAACTTACGTAATGTACTTGTTTTAACCCAAGCCACAATATTTTCCTAAAACTAACCATAAAGTTCTGTTGCCTAAAACTAACTACTACCTTTTTTTACTTTACGTTACGTAACATAGGCCTACTGAAGGACTCTGACTCTGGACCAGTATTTGCCAATGCTCGTTGTTTTGGAAAACGGTCAAAATGTCATTGTATTTTCCAATAGACATATGGCCGATGTCATTTTGGAAACAGTCTTATATGTCGTTTATGGAGACTTGATAATTTTGTCGTTTTGGTATGACAAAGTGTTGCATGTGTAAGTCAGATGAATAGCCTACTTACTTGTATCATGTGCCTGAGGTTTGTTGTTGATTCTGAATTTAAAATAAAAGATTGTTAAAAGGTGGCCTGCTTGATGCTGTTAATGTACCTATTAATGAAAAAAATACTACAACAAACAGTTATTTAAATTCTTGCACCTGTAAGTAAAACACCAAATCCAGCAATGCAAATTATTTAATATGATCAACAGAATCATTCACATTAATAGAATATAATTTATGTAATCTTAAAGTCAGTTGAGTTTAATGGAGCTGTAAAAGTACTGTATGAAACTGATCAATATTGAAAATACAATAATTCCTGACCAAATCTAAGAGAAATGAGTGACCAGTTACAGATATTATGAAGGCTATTTTCACACAAATACCTCCAGGTGATTTCCCTGATTTTTAAACAGGGTCATGTACAGTAGGATACTGTAAGGGTGAATGAACACTGATGAAAATGAGAGTCAGAGTCAAAGCTAAAGTCAGGGTCAGGGCTAAATAGACAATATACATATATACACCTGTTGTAGATAAATCAAACAGAGTTTTACTGTCACAACCTGATTCTAGTTCCCTATTTTCTATCTCTTCTCTTCAGATCCTAACACTCCCTCCCACCCTGTAGTAATCCATGGTTTATGACTAAAACTGAATTGACCTGCAAGTCCAAACTCAACAATACTGAGCCAATACACTTGCCATAATTGGTATTGATTCTAAATAATTTAAAAAATGGCTCATATATACCTTTTTTTATATATGTAGTATCCTCCACCAAAACCTGCTCCACAGATGACCAAACATGCGATTACTAATCCAGCGATGCAACCAGCCGAACAGGGTGAAGTTTTGACAGCTAAAATAAAGAAGATCCAAGAACATAATTTAACACCATTCTGTAAACAGGAATAATCTTTTATGCCTATGGATAAAGCATAAAACTATTTCTCCTTTCCTGTGACTTCACAGCCCACTAGGTGCGAATATTTGTTTAAACATAACATAACAATTTAACATTGTGGGTTAATGTGGGCAACATCAACAACAAGAAATTGCAATCAACTCCATCTTGTTACCTGTTACAGACAACTGGTGGACCGCTGATGATGATGTTTTTCCAGTTACATTATTCATTGCTTCGCAGATGTAGTTGCCACTGTCAGAAAGTTCAGTGATGTCTTTAGCAAACACAGAAGAGTTGTGTATCTCAGTCCCATTCAGTGTCCAGGTGTAACTAGCAGATGGTGTGGACTCAGCAGAGCAGGTTAATGTTAAGGTCTGTTCAATATGGATCTCATTCGGACCTGTGATTTGAACATTTTCTGGTCCATCTGAAAAAAACATAGTTGTAAAGTTCTTACAGCAGCACAAATAATACAGACTATAAAACTTAAAAACTTAAACTTATGTTACATACTGACAAACCAAAACCAGTCGCACACAGTTATTTATGGCAGTCATCATTTTGAACAGTAAATGTACATTGTACAGTGTGTTACCTACAGTTAACAACCACGGTGTATGTAGCTTCCTCAGTGTTGATTGGGTTGCTGATTTTACAGGAATATTCTCCACTGTCTTTTTATTCAGACTGATAAAAGACAGCACTCTGTTGTTATCGTGAAGTATCATGTTGTCAGTCAGAGTCAGATTGAGCCGTCCTTCACCCATTTTCTGGTAAACACAGCGCCAGCTGCGTCACAGGTTAGGTTGACAGAGCTCCCCTCAATCGGCATGTTTGTTGATGATTTGACAGAAGCACCTGATATTCTCTCTGTAGAACAAAACATCACAGAATTTGTGTGAAAACAGGAACAACTAACTGCAAACATTATAACTACTGCACCCTAAAATATGTGTAGAATTTGCCAAGTGACACACTAAAGAGTTATTTTAAATTTAAAGTTTTGAACAACCTGTAGGATCTCAGCCACAGTCATTTATATACTGTATGAGAGGAAACATGACATTACATTAAGTTCTTAGATAGAAGATAATGTGTCAATTCACACACTGAATAATGGAAAAGTGTTTTATTAAAAGCACTAGTTTCTTTAACAATTGACTCAAAACAGTCGACAGTTGCAAGACTCTTGATCTTTGCCAGGTTATGTGCTGTCGTTTGTTCATGTTATTGCCACAAAGTCTTAATAGAGTGTGAAATCCTTAAACCTGCAATAAAGTTTTTTTGGCCTCTTGGAAGCAGTGAAAACAAGCTGTCAACACAATATTGACACATAATTATTGTTTAAGTTGATACAGCAAACTTGTTAGTAAACAGTTACCTATTATTTAGATTACACATTTATCGAGATGGATGAGCAACTCAGTGGCTGGATAACAGCCAACTGAAGAAACAGTTCAAGCCCAATGCTGTAGGGGCTTGCACTGGGTTACAACAGCTGTGTGTAAGTTCTCGCCTATGTTAGGGTGCAAAGTCGAGGCTTAGTAACTACTAGTTAGTTTTTAACAACCAAACAAAATGGTTGTACCATGATTACTTTGGGCATTATGTAACTAGTTTAGAGTTAAGTCATAACTAAGGCAAGCAAAGACAGAGTTCCATCGTAACGGTTACGGTGCACATTAGCTTTCTGGCCGGTATGAGCCACTTGGCGTCATAGCACATGTAGTAAAGCTAGTTCGATATTGAAATATCATTTCAATAAATCAGGTCTCTGCTGGATTACTGTGTTGCAAAATGACATGTGGTTAATAAATAAAAGTATGTTGTGTGGCAGAAAAACTGCAGTTCATCCATTATTGAGCTTTATTCTGTGCCATTTTATGATTTAGACCTAGGCATACCCTGGGCAAATATAGAGTAATTTAGTAATAACTTATTATTTTAAGATATGCATAAATCACAACTCAGTAATAATTAAGTTATAACTAGGCGAAGACTGAACCACTGGTGCAACAGGCTGATAAAAGTTTCCCACAAACATCCTTGGAAGAATACAGTGACCACAACGACATTATATTACAACAACCAGGAGCACCAACAATCCAAGGAGGTATCCATCACCTTGTTAATGACCCCACAGAGGTTAAATGGCTGGGATTCCCTGCGGTCAGTCAGAACTGAAGAAGCAGCTTGGATGAGAGGCATAACAAAAAAGTTGTATCTTCAACCAAGCCCACTTGCCCTTAATTTGAACTGTCCGTGGATAAGACAAGTAACGTTTTACTTGTCTTATTTTATTTTTTAAATTAAGGCACACTGATTTGAGTGCACACTTTGCCAGTACAGATGATGCAGGTGGATGATTTTGGTGCCACTTTTCTGACCCATCACTACTATATTCACTCAATCTTTTTATTCCAGCTAACCCAGTATCAAGACAACTGACAGTGATCAGTGTTAAAAGGGTTTTAAAATGCAAAACTCAACCATTTTATTTTATAGTTTATGGGTGGCGATGTCGCAATAGACAAGACACATGCCTTTGGTGTGAGAGACCCGGTTTCACTCCCCCACTGTGACCCATCCACCGTTGTGTCCCTGAGGAAGACACTTAATCCCTAGTTGCTCCAAAGGTGTGCGACCTCTGACATGTATAGCAATATAGCTGCTTTGGATAAAAGCATCAGCTAAATGAATAAATGTAAATTTTACTGAAGGCATAAGCAATTAAACATTATTTGATATTAAAGGCGGGGTATGTGATTCTAATCCAACACACATCATTGTGTCAAATTCAGTGAATAGCTCCTCAGGGTCCATAGCTGTCCGTTTGATGTGTGTGTGCTGATTCATTTCAACTTACCCAGTACAGAGACAACTGATGGCTGAGAAGTTTGATATCTCAGGTTTTTTTTGTTAAAGGCCTGGCAGCTGTAGTTACCACTGTGACTCATCTGAATGTTATCAGTGTGAGCTCTGGTCCAGTATCAGAAAGCAGGTCTCCATTTAGAAACCAGTTAAACAAGGCAGAGGTCTGGAGACAGCTGAACAGGACAGACTGATGTTTGATCCTTCCTCAAGTATCCTTGTGTTGGAGATATCGTCAAATAAATATTTTCTGGGCCATCTACAGTGTATGACAAATGCATAGTAAAATACAACACACAAAATAGTAATGTTAGCAGCTTGAAGAAAATGCTACTTAACATGCAGCTTAGCTCAGTGCGAAGCCTCTTACATTATCAACTGAAAGTCAAAGATGTATCTTTGAAGCTGTATGTCCACAGTAGAACTGCATGAATATAGTGCAAGATAAATGTTATGCACATGTTAATAACTCACAGATGATGACCAGGTTTACTGGATCACTGGTGCCGTTACTGACAGGATTGAACACACGACACCTGAATGGTCCCTGGTCATAGCGGGTCACATTGACTATAGTGAGAGTGGAGCCTCCATCAGTGAGCTGAACTCTGTCGCTGGCTGTAACCTCAGAGCTGCCGTTCAGCCAGAAGAAAGAGAGGAGGATCCAGAGGAGGAGCAGACAGACGGACAGAGCTGCTGAACTCCACTAAGTCTGTGCTGCTGG